CGGAAGTACCAAAAATTGCAGATCCACCCTCATCCGCTGGGGGCTGGTGTCAGAAGCGAGCAAATCCTCATTGACTCCCATGTTAAAAATACCAATTTCACAGCAGAAATAAACATGTTTACAGCCTGGTACCAAAACATGTTTTTTGTTTAAATGATCTAGTTTACACTCATGACAACTCTGAGGGGGGTGAATTTTTTTCTCACTCTTCTGTTTCAGTGTATTAAAAGCCTAAAACTCTGTATAATTAATGAGCATCCGACCCACGTGACCACAGAGCTAGCTTCGTGGAAAGGCCTCAGTAGCGCCTCAGTCTGGCTTGGAAACTGCTCGGGGATTTTGAGTCTCTCTGTTTGTGTATTCTTTTTTTGGATATTTTTTGTGCAATTGCTGGACAAAATGACTTGCTGTGGCATTAGTTGCACTAATAGAGCATCCAAGGAGTCTCAACTTCATTTTTTTCTGTAAGTAAAATTATATTTATGTATTTTAGGTCACTGCCGAGCTGAGCTTAAGGTGCTGGCCAGTAAATTAGAATATCATCAAAAGGTTGGAAATATTTCAGTAATTCCATTCAAAACGTGAAACTTGTACATTATATTCATGCAATGCACACAGACCAATGTATTTCCAATGTTCATTACATTTAAATTTGATATTCATAAGTGACAACTAATGAAAATTCCAAATTTGGTATCTCAAAAAATTAGAATATTCTGAAAAGGCTGAATATAGAAGACACCTGCTGCCACTCTAATCAGCTGATTTACTCAAAACACCTGCAAAGGCCTTTAAAAGGTCCCTCAGTCTTGTTTTGAAGGCACCACAATAATGGGGAAGACATCTGACTTAACAGCTGTCCAAAAGACAATCATTGACACCTTGCACAAGGAGGGCAAGACACAAAAGGTGATTGCTAAAGAAGCTGGCTGTTCGCAGAGCTCTGTGTCCAAGCACATTAACAGACAGGCGAAGGGACGGAAACAATGTGGTAGAAAAAAGTGTACAAGCTCTAGGGATAACCGCACCCTGCAGAGAATTGTGACGACAAACCCATTCAAAAATGTGGGGGAGATCCACAAAGAGTGGACTGCAGCTGGAGTCAGCGCTTCAAGAACCACCACAAGGAGACTCATGAAAGACATGGGATTCAGGTGTCGCATTCCGTGTGTCAAGCCACTCTTGAACAAGAAACAGCGCAAGAAGCGTCTCGCCTGGGCCAAGGACAAAAAGGACTGGACTGATGCTGAGTGGTCCAAAGTTATGTTTTCTGATGAAAGCAAGTTCTGCATTTCCTTTGGAAATCAAGGACCCAGAGTCTGGAGGAAGAGCGGAGAAGCACAGAATCCACGTTGCATGAGGTCCAGTGTAAAGTTTCCACCGTCAGTGATGGTGTGGGGTGCCATGTCATCTGCCGGTGTTGGCCCACACTGTTTCCTGAGGTCCAGGGTCAATGCAGCCGTCTACCAGGAAGTTTTAGAGCACTTCATGCTTCCTGCTGCTGACCAACTTTATGGGGATGCAGACTTCACCTTTCAACAGGACTTGGCACCTGCACACAGTGCCAAAACCACCAGCACCTGGTTCAAGGACCATGGTATCCCTGTCCTTGATTGGCCAGCAAACTCGCCTGACCTTAACCCCATAGAAAATCTATGGGGTATTGTGAAGCGGAGGATGCAATACGCTAGACCCAACAATGCAGAGGAGCTGAAGACGACTATCAGAGCAACCTGGGCTCTCATAACACCTGAGCAGTGCCACAGACTGATCGAGTCCATGCCACGCCGCATTACTGCAGTTATTGAGGCAAAAGGAGCCCCGACTAAGTATTGAGTGCTATACATGCACATTCTTTTCATGTTCATTCTTTTCAGTTGGCCAACATTAGAGAAACAAACATTTTTTCATTGGCCTTTAGAATATTCTAATTTTCTGAGATACCAGATTTGATGTTTTCATTGGTTGTCACCTATAAATATCAAAATTAAACGTAATAAACATCGGAAATACATTGGTCTGTGTGCATTGCATGACTATAATGTACAAGTTTCACGTTTTTAATGGAATTACTGAAATATTTTCAACCTTTTGATGATATTCTAATTTACTGGCCAGCACCTGTAGATGTTAACATGTACTGTTTAACCATGAAATTTAAATGTAATAGGGTAAAACCCAGTGCATTTAACATAATGCTGCACTTTAGAAAATGGGTTGAAATATAACATGTTGGTGGAGCTGGGTTCCGACTATCGGCTTGTGGAGCTCTCGGGAGACCGATGTTTTCCACCCGTTTCTCCCCTCCCCGCAGCCCGGCGCATCTCTGTCTGATCGCGGCTTCTGTCTGCTGCCAGCCGGCTTGTGGTTCTCCCCTCCCCGCAGCTCGGCGCATCTCTGTCTGATCGCGGCTTCTGTCTGCTGCTGGCTTGTGGTTCTCCCGCAGCTCGGCGCATCTCTGTCTGATCGCGGCTTCTGTCTGCTGCCAGCCGGCTTGAAGTTCTCCCCTCCCCGCAGCTCGGCGCATCTCTGTCTGATCGCGGCTTCTGTCTGCTGCGCGGGTTGCCGGCTTTCAGCAGCTTTCGGGAGACCTCTGTGTTCCACCCGGTTTTACCCAGCGGTCAGCCCAGCGTATCTCTGACTCAGAAGCTCTGGTGTTGTGCACAGTTAACTCCGGTTGTAGCTAGGTTGCTACCTCCGTTAGCTTAGCTCCCACCTCCGCATTAGCTTTGGGTTAGCTTCAGGTTAGCTTCAGGTCAGCTTGTAGCTAGTTCGACCGGGTGTCGTCAGTTGATCCCAGCCGTACAGCCCCGCCCTCAGCTCCACCTCTCTTCCCTTTTGTGGAATTGTTTGGGGTTGACGGAACCTGTGACACGGTCAAAATGGCGGTGGTGGTCACCTCCCATTTTAGCTCAAAAATTTATTATTGCAGCCTATGGAAACCCATTGTCCAATATTTATATGTCGATGGTTAATCAACAACCAACCATTTACTTTCAGTTAACAAACCATTATGAATGGCTTATTATGATAACACTCCTAATTTATGGCCTGTTAATGTTAGAATTACAGCATTAGTAATAAGCTGTTAATAAGTGCTTAACAATGACTAGTAGTCCACTAATATGCATATTAATTGGCAGCTAATTAGTGGTTAAGTTGTGTTCCCTAAACTAAAATGTTACCGAAAATTTTATATCTGAACATGTAGTTGACAGATTTAAACTATGGGAATGAGCAGGGGCCATAAAACTTTGTTATCTGAGATGTATTTCTATTATTTATTCAGGAAAATTAACCATTAGTTCCCATAGGGGATGAGGTGTAAAATGTTTACTGCAGTCAGCCACTACAGGGCACATTTGTTCCTTGTTGCTATAACTTCATGTTTGTTTCTTACCTCCAGGCCTTTTTCTTTGTGTATGCTTTCAAAAAACAATACATCTTTTTTCATCAAAAAACAAGTTACAAGCAGACTGGGAACTTAATTAAATAAACCTTTAATGGTTGACAGTGGCGGCTGGTTAAGTTTTTATTTTGTTTTATGTTTATTTTTTTTAATGGCAGGGCACATTTAACAGATTTTGTGCAGATGGCAACTTACCTGCTGAGAAATTTGCTTGGTCTATTGCAGGAAGGTGCACATGTTCAACAAGTCAACTTTTTATTATTATGAGTTTCCATGTCTACACGACAGATGAGCAAAATGCATCCAGGAGAAGCAGGAACACTGGCAACATGCAATAACAGAGGACTTCTTACTCGACTTCTGAATGGCACCATGGTCCCATTCCTCGAAATGGAACTGCTACTCACAGTGCAAAATTAACGCCAACCAAAAATATCACCATCAGAACTTTAAACCAGAGACTAACAACAACAAACACATCTCTAGTAATAGAACCCCAACAAAACACCCCAAAACATACCAAAATAGAATAAAACAACTGAAACCCAGCTAACCACAATGCACCTCACCCACTGCCTGTTCCACAGTGGGCAGGGTCACTACACAACAGACTGCAACAAACTTGTACCAAAAACATCCTTAAAATTTACCAATATATGGAAAGTCAGAAGCAAAACAAAGATAATTTCATGAAGTCAAAAGTGTCTTACATTTGTTGGTCTATGGTCTTAATAATCTGTTATAGTACAAAAATCCACTTTTTACCTGTTGGGGAGTGTTCATAAGTCTCTGATGCCACATTCCATCATTTTCTGGTTCTTCATAATTAAAAAAAACAACTGATTCGGTCATGGTAAAAGTGTGAAAAAACATGTTTAAACTACACTTACATGCTGAACATACACAACACTTATGTATGTTGTATAGATTGTTGAATTTAATTTTATGTTGTTTTTTATATTTTGTTATTTCTATCTTCACCTTCTTTTTCTGTGAGACTGGTGGGGCGGGGCTCTAGTGCCCCCATGGGCAAGCCGCCAAAGATGGTTGATAAAATAACATGTTCATGAAGTTCTTTGCACAAAATCTCTCTCGCATAAAGCAATTTAAACAGTTTTGTTTTTGAAAAATGTAGAACCTTCTAGAATGAGCTGTTTGAGGGCTCTGTCAGTATAAAGAAAACAAGCTGGAGTTGGCCTGCCCACCCATCCCCCGCTCAGGCTGCTATAGGCTTAGAAGCTCCAATATTTGGGAGGGGCTCAGAGTAGAGGTGTTTATACTGCCACAGCAAATCTTACTTGGAAGTGAGAGGTGGTTCTATTTTACTTGCCCTGTTTGTGACATCACAAAAGGAGAACTTTTAAAACAGTTTTTTTGGGCACATAATTCCTTAAACCAAACACAGACAGTAAACAAATGGATGTTTTTTTTCTCATGTGGACTGCTTTTAGAGGCAGTAGAGACCTATATGGCAGCATAAAAATTATGCAAAAACTGTGTTTTGCATAAAATGTCCTGTTTAATAATAAAACCCTGAGACTGACGTGTTAAAATTAAATCCCATCGAGCAAAAACAAAATGTTCCACTTACTGCAGGCAGGGCAAAGAAAGATATAGCAAACACTGAGAAACAAGATGCAATGGTTTTTCCAATCCAGGTTTTTGGCACTTTGTCTCCATAGCCAATAGTAGTCACTGTCACCTAAAGGAAAAGAAAAACAAACAATAGTATAAATGTGAATAGAACTCATGTAGACTCTCAGTGATCTTGATGTTTATGGTAATTGGTGAATTTTGATAACATTGCTATATTGCTACTTGGTCAAATGTGAGTTCATGTTTCAAAACAAACAAGTCCACACTGCACAGCTGTGGCCAGATACAGGTCAGCACCAGAAGATTCTAGATGACTTGACAAGTCATACACAGTAGGTTGGTAAGTAGATGAATAATTTCATTAAAATATCGAGTTGTTGGTTACTGACAAAAGTAGCTTTAGACATTTTTGGAGTGGACAATTTTTTTCTAATTCATCGTTAGCATAGTAAGCTCAATTTTAGCCTCTAGCCTTGATTATCCAATATTGAGTGTCTCTGGAACCAGGGAGGCAAGACAGACTGTAAACAGAGTCTACACCCCTCTTCTGCCATTTTAAAAGGAAATTTGTTTCAATGCAACCTTCCTTCCAACATGATTGAGTCATTAGACTGTTTTGTGTGCATTTGATTGTAAAATTGTTACTTAATAATAATAATAATAATAATGCACTGAACTTATGTAGCGCTTTTCAGGACACTCAAAGATGCTTTTTACACACTCTCACATTCACACACTGCCAGTGATGGTAAGCTACTTTGTAGCCACAGCCGCCCTGGGGTGGTCTGACAGAGACGAGGCTGCCATTTGGCGCCGTCAGCCCCTCTGACCACCACCAACACAGGCAAGTTGGGTGAAGTGTCTTGCCCAAGGACACAATAGCAGAATACCCCTGGCAGGAGCTGGAATCGAACCCATGAAACTCAGATCATGGCGCAACCCGCTCTACCACCTGAGCTACTGCTTGTACCTTTGATTTCTGTCATAAATTCCTAGTTTCTGACCACAAGCTGACATTTTCACATTTGGCTTTAAAGCTGCTTTCTAGAGTTTTCCGCTTTCAGAAATGATGTATGATTTTTCAGAAATCCGTAAAAGCAATTATCTCATCATGTACTGTGATGAAATGTAAGCGATATGTCTTTTTAAAATGTTTTTGGCTAAGCACGCCCCCTGCCCCACAGAGCTCCGTGCAATAGGAAACTGAGCACCGACCAAAACTAACCAATAGTGTTAAACTACCGCTTACTTGCTTCAAATTTAAGGAATACCTCGGCTGATGCAGAGTTGAGGAATTTTTCACGGACAAGAAAGTCTTTAAAATATAAATTATGAGAACAAAACATGGCATAAGAATAAAACTCATAAAACAACGTGTTTTAGCTATGTTTGTCGGCTACAGAAGCACATTTATAAACAGAAACGTGACGTCGCCATCTTAAACAAAGCGACAGACTTTTTGTGTGATAAGCTTGTCAGCCACTAGATGGTGCCATCGTATAAGAGAAATACTTTGGAAAGAAGCTTTGGGCATTCGGAATGTACAGAATGTTTTTGGAAGAAAACAGGATGAAAAACAAACTACTTTCATTTGTGTAAAAAGATGCCAGCTGTGCTGGGCATGTGTGTGTTCTTTGTTATATTAGCCTCTGAAGTTTTTAAAAGGCTGAAGTTCATCCGATATTCTCTTCACTATTTGTTTTGCTTGAAGTGTTAGTATCCCACTGGATCTGCTCAGGAGTTCACTTGTAACTATGGTGAAAACAGAAGCACAGATAAAATGCAGATTATATTTTTAAACTTTCAGTAAAAATAAAGGACGAGGGAAGTGAAGAAATCTAAATATATTTTTAGAAGATAATAGAATGTTTAAATTAGAGTTACCTGCTAATATTTCAGCAATCCCTCTTGTTACCATAAGCACACCAGCAGGTATGATTGATTTAAACTTAAAAACAGGAAGCAACTACATACAGGTAGCTGGTCAAATCACCAGATTAATGCCATAAATATTTTGTCAAACAAATTAGACTTTATGAACAAGACAAAAAACGAAATATATACATATCTAAAATTAAAGAACCTTTGGTTGCAGTAACTAATAACACGTCCAAAACTAGAGATTTAAAGTTTTGAAGTTCAATGAAAGATTTAGAATATGAGTCAGCTTTATTTTCTGCAGTTTGCACCCTAGAGGAGTAAAACAGCATAACTAGCAAAACAAGGTGACAACTTGTTTCTGATTTTGGAGTGTTACTTATCACTGTGCGCCTCATTAACATGAAAAAAAAATATATACATTTTTTTACATCAAAACACATAAAGTGAAATTAGAAAGAGTCTGTCTGCTCCTTTGAGTTTTTTTTTTGTCTGTTTGTTTCAAGCCGTTCTGCAAGGGCAAGGGGTCAGTAAAGTCTAGTAAAGCCTAAAGCCTAATGTATACATGTATTGATGGAGACGTTTTGCCTTCTGACTTCTCCGCCAGCTCGAGATTGTTGCAAAGCAATTCCCCGCTGGGACAACAGAGTGTGTAGCTCTATTCTGGGGTATCCTGCCGCCATTACAGTCACGTATCCGGTCCACAACAGTGTATTTACTATTGTGTTTTTTGTGTTTAGAGACTTTTTAACATGGACACCTCTTCATGTACTCGCCACCTCTATCCCCACGTTTCCCTTCATTTCTGTCCACGAATAAAATACTTGCTGCGTATCTTTTTTCACCTCCAGTCACAGCTGAATAACGTTTCAGGGTTTCCACAAGGTATTCTTCAAACTGCTACATGTCTGCTGCTAGATATCTTCAGCTCTGTTTTTATAATTTTTTTGAGGGGGCAATTTACTTATAAAGCACTTTAAAACAACACAAAGATATGGTATAAACATAACAGATACCATATGAATAATAAAAAGAAATACAGGTAAACAAAAACAAAACAGCAAAACAAGTGTCCCTTCTCACACCTGACTGAACACTAGCGAATAAAAGTGTTTTTAAACGAGTCTTAAACACTGCAAGCAATGGGGCCAGCCTGACATGAAGTGGAAGGTCGTTCCAGTCTTGGTGAGAGTACTGAAAAAGCACAATCTCCTCTGGATTTCATTTTTGACCTTGGAACGACCAACAACAGCTGATCTGCTAATCCTGATGATGTTCTGACATACCACAGGATAAGGAATATCGGGGCAAGTTCACAGACTTCTATCAGCACCACAGTGTCAGATTGACCTGTATGAAGAAGTCTGGCCTAAAGTTAACTTCAGGTCACTTTGATGAAACACTTGGCCATTTGGTACGCTACAATGGCGTTGCATGTCTCTGCACCAACACAGACGGAGAAGCATACATTAAGCTTAAGCCTCTCGAACACTGGTACAAGTATTGGTGGTTTTTAAGATCTATGTATTGGTACTTTGAAAATTTGGGTCTCAGCCTTTATCATGCTAACTAACATGCTAATTAACCCACCTAAGATTTGGTGCAAAGTTAAGAGCAGCTGACTTGAGAAGGGTTCCCACTGAGTGCTTTTCAGACTTTGTAGAATGAATCTGTTACGGTAAAAGAATCATGAGTCAGTTAAGCTGTGAGTTTGATTCAGTGTGTGGTTGTTCAGTGTGAGCTAATCAATGGCCAGTTTATGCATTAGGACAATATAATAGCAATAAGATGAAATAACCTTCAGGCAATAACTGACATCTTTTGGAGACAATTGTGCGGTCTAAAGCTTGCTCAGAGTGATATTTACCAGATTTTTTGTGAAGGCTGAATTTTGCACCGTGTGAGCCAGGCTTTTACTCAATTACAGTTTGGTCTCCAAACGCAAACCACTCAAAACAGAAAGGCAGAGGGGAATATTGTGATAAATTTGTGAAGGACATGCTCAGGAATGAAAAGTGGATCAAGAAGTTTAAAATTAGTTTTCAGTTGTTTTGGAAGCAGATGAACAACAAAAGCGCTGTACTACTCAGCACTGATGCATCATCCTGCACCCTCCAAGCATGGTTCAGATGAGAAGTTTGCTCTTTCACGTCTAAGTGCTTGTATCCTTCTTCACTTTTATTCAGTTTCTATCATGATGGTAATTCAAGAGTTTGGAGTTTTGTTATAAAACATTTAAGAATCACTTCTTAACTCAGAGTGTGTTATTGAGCGGCTCCTAGAAAAATGTCAGAAGGAAAGGAAGTATTTTAAAAGGAACAAGAACCAATAAAGTCTTCTTTAGTCTGCCACTATCGTCTACTTGGGATTTCTAAACTACAAAACACAGCTGACTGATCAATGACCCACTGATTCAAAAAAAAGAAATATCAGTACAGGAGGATGGTTGTTCCTAATAAAAACTGATGTCAGCATCCTTAACTGCCCGGCTTTTTATTTGCTTACACGGCAATGTGAATCACACGCGTTGCCAGTTTTTCTTTGTTCTGTGCAAAAACTCTAATGTTATCCAATCTGTAATAAATCATAGTTTGGACAGATAATGCTGCATGTGTGCATAAGTCCTCAAGTGGTTTATTTAAGCTTTTTTTTTAAGATTTTGTGCAAGTAAACACAATATTTTTCTTTTTTTTCACTGTTAGATAAAAGCTTGCTTTTAGTGATTTCTGTGTTTACTTTCTTGTCACAATACTTAACTTGTTCCTATCTCATGGAACATTTTAATGACATTGCTTTTTGTGAAATAAATGGATTACAAATTGATAATCAAACTGATAAATAATAAAAAGCTGGTTGTTTACATGTAATGCTGAGCAGTAAAAATAACCTGAGTCACTCAAGTGCCCCCTGTTGTTGTTCTGCTTTTGTTGTCCTTTAAATAGGTGCAGGAAGGTCAATCAATTGTAACTAATGGGGGCACACGCTGGTGAAATAAACGAATAATTATTTATTTTTGTTTACCTTCGAATCGGATCAGTGAATTCTGAAGATCGATTTCAACATGAGTGGACAAGTTTGTTCTCTATAGTAAACATTTGTCTCTCTCACCTTATTACTTAAACAAAGGAAAAATAAATATATGAGCCCTGATTCTAAATTACACAATAACTCACCAGGAATTCTGACACGGCAGCTGTTTCTGTTTGCACTCCACTCACTATGGAGTTGAGATTTGTGATAATTTCTTAGGAGTAAATCCTGCAGAAATGTTCAGAGCTGGCAGAAATGATAAAGTTTAGACTCCAAGAGAAAGGAAATCACTCGTAATCATCATAATAAAATAAAGATCTAAGCATATACTGCAGGTAATAAATACACTTAAGATAACGATCAACAGTCAAATAAAGAAGCGTTTAAGGGTTGTTGGCAACAACTCGAGAAAGCACCTCTGAAATTATCTCAACAACTGTGCGAGGGCGTGACTCATGTTTCACACACTAGAATTTGAACCTGTTTAAAAATTTTACATAAAACGTTTTGTCTAAAAATTAAATTGTGTGTGGTGATGACCAAATTAAGGATGAAGCAAAAAAATGATGCAGAAGGTGAGTTTGCATTTGATTATGAATAATTAACAGACAACAACACCTGAAAAGGTGCTTTTTACATCTGAACATGTTTATCTTATTGAAACGTTTGTTAAGCTTCTCCGAGAACACGTTTGCTCTTCCTCTTATCTTCTCAAACTCACAGATTTAGTTTGGATGCAAAAGCATATTTACAGTTAAGATGATGTGAGGATGTTCTTTTTGGCTTTCAACCTCTTCTGCCTTTGAAAATATTCCCTCAGCAGGAACAGAACAATTCCCAGCACTCTCACTGCAAGTAGTGCTGGGAAGTTTGTTCATGCTCTTGCCACCAAATCAGTAGATCCTTTTTTCGAGGAATTAGTTTTTCCTACAAAGTGGAAGATGATAATTACGTAGTTTGGACCTAACCTGCTCATTGACATCTGTCCATATATCTCTTTTACTTGCCGTTGACCTTGAAGGTATAGGGCTCTGGCTAATCCAGGAAGTAGAAGACACTAGCAGTATGAGCTGAGCTGACTGCCCGATACACTTTCAGTGTAGACTCGTTTTTTTATACTCCCTTTTAGTTATGTCTTCAAAGCCAAACATTTAAGTTATTGTTATCAGTTGTATGCTATTCATGTGCTTCCAAATCAAATTCCCCAATTTGCCAGTTTCCACTAATAGAACAGAAGACTTTATTGTAATAGCTCATGCAATTAAATTACAGATGGTCCGCCATCAACAGTGCACAAGACAATAAATATCAATAAATATCAAAACCACTACTAAGGTAGCATGTTACTGTCAGAGATGCCTCTGTGGAAATTCATTATACAAATAAATTATTTAAGACTAATAAAAAAATGATTTCTTTGATTTAAAATTTACATTCTGTCTCTCACAGTTGAAGTGCACCTATGATGAAGATGAAAGACCTCTCTCATCGTTTTAAGTTTGACACCGTGCACAATAGGTGGCTGCCAAATACAATGTGGCCCCACTGTACATATAAAAATACTTTAGGACTGAATAGAATTTAACACATTTTGAAACATGCACTGTGACATAGACTGTAGCAGAGTATTGAAGGAGTGAGAACATGAATGGAACACTGTGCAAATGGGACATGGCTGAGTGCAAATAGAATAACTCCAGAAACTGCAAGTAACAAAAATCAGCAGGAATGCAAAAACTGTTCAGTGGGTTCAATGGGAGCAGTGATAGAGTTTAACAGCATGCACCTACGCAGCGGTCTGCACTGAAGCAACTCCAGGTTCCACAGCAACTATCAATCTAATTCAAGGAATGCTTTCCTATATCTTAATGTTCTCGAGTACATTGACAGTTTTATTTTCAGTACTGTACGTTTCAATAACACTTGGTCTATGTAATCCTCTGTGAATCAATAGGGCGATCATAGGCGTCATTTTAAGCGTGGACAATTTTAAATATTACTGGGGACATGTGTCATGAGCCAAGATGGGTGAGTCCATGAATATTAAGGGACAGTGTGACGTAGATCTGTCAGGCTTTACTCATCCTAGAGTTTCACCGTCTATTTTCTATCAGAAGCTAATGCAGGAGATAGATGTAGGAGACTATTTCATGTTCAGCCTGCATGAAAAACTCAGATAATTTAAAAACAATATTAAACACCTCTTTAATACATGCACATTTATTTAATCAATGATGCTTTAACTGTGAATAAAAATAAAAAAATCACTCAATTTATTTAGTTTGAATTTCAAATTTTTATTAATTTATTTACAAAAAATGTTGAGAATGCTGAGAAATCTGCTCCATCCGCCCAGTAATTATTGTGCTGAATCGTTAACGCTAGTGCTTTAGCTAACCTACTGTTAACTTAAGGTTAAAATCTGACAACTTGGTCAGTCCCACTGTGAAACCACAATTATTAATATTATTATTTTATTATTCCAGCGGATGGCTTGGAGTTTGGAGTTAACTAAAGGCTGATAACGAGTAAGCTGTAAACTATTTTGTGAGTATCTTTCTAAGTGAGGCTACATGTGCCAAAATGGCAGAGGTTAGGAGTTTGCTCTGCTTCACCATGCATATTTTAATTAAACGCCAAATAGATGAATACTTATGCATAAAAATATTAATAACTGTCCTCAGCAATCTTCAAACCACACTAAAGTTTATGGTTATTGTCCCCAGTAATAATAATTTTTATAAAAGACTCTCTCTCTTGGCTCAGGGGTTAGGAGTCACCCTATTTGTGAGACACTTCACCCTCCTTACCCACTGGTGGTTGTCAGAGGGACTTGTAGCACCATTTGTGAGGCAGCTTCATTTCTGCCAGTCTTCAACAACTCCTTATTCTTTCCCTTTGTTCGTGGATAATGCCTGCCTGTCGCACCAAACGACTCCAAATGTGACGTCTGTTTCATCCTGGCAGCACCTGTCTCCCTCTCCTTTTCTGACCACCTCAAACATGAAGTCTTTATTTTTTTGTCTCATTTGGAGATGTTTAATGATGTTTGTGTGCTACGGGAGTATGGTATTTCTGCACATGTCTCATGGTGCACCATACAGTTCTGCTGTGCCACATTATACACTTCGGTTGGCATTAGAAGTAGTTCCAACCAATTGGTGATCCTTAAGAAAGAGTTCCAATTTATGATAAACTACTTATTTACTTCAGATTACTAAAAATATTTTATATTTCAATAAGAATATCAATTCCAGATCAAAAGAAAATAAATGAGTTGTAAGTAATGGAGATAGAATGAGAATCTGACATTCAGATCATGAAAGAAATGTAAAGGGGGATACATTTTAAACTAATTAGGACCTGTTTACAATACTTTATGAATAAAGGTGTAAAAAAATTGTGAAACATTCTTTAAATCTAGAAGTGACACAAACGATTCTTAATCTGGACATTCTGCTCACTTTATAATTATGTTTGCCCATTTCAAATGCTGTCAAATGCCACTTTCCACAGACTCTCGCTGGCAGAGGGGATAGTTCAGGCTTCACTGCTGAGTTCTGAGATCAGTTTCAGACGATCGCAAACAGCAACAACGGTGGAGGAGATCAGGATTTTTGCAAATTCTCAGAAAAACCGAAAACATAAAGAGAAACAGTGCATTGAGTCTCCTCCCTACTGCTTGTCTGTCTCCAAGCCCAAGAGGGGAAACATGACAGATGTGCTTGTAGTTCTGTACATATTTGCAATGCCTCTCTTCAGATTTCTACCATTTCTGTTGTCATCTTCTTCTTTGCTCCTTTCACTGGTCACACATGAGCTATACTCTGCAACGCTGTATAATCTCTGCATCGACATCTGTTAACTTTAAGCATTTATGAACCTTTATCATCTACTTTCGTGTGAATGCCCTTAAATTAGTCCACAAAGACCTGCCGCCATTCACAGCCCCGGAAGTTATGAGTCTAAGTGAAGTTAAAGTAGAGATGTTTGCACATAAACAAACAATATTGTCTAAATGCATTTATGGTCATGTTTCCTGCTCATGTGTTAATTGTCTCCTGCACTACAGACTCCGAAGCAAATTCCTCAACAGTGTATTAGTTCAATGACAATAAGTGTGATTCTGATAAATGAATACACAGTCTCACCACTCCCCACCACAGAGCATCAGCGTAGTTTCCAAAGTCAGTGGAGCCGCTGCTATTGACGGTGTCTTTCTCTGCCAGGTAGACAAAGTAGGAGGAGAAGATCAGACTCAGAAACCCGATGTACAACGTGGTGATCAGCTCCTGGAATCAACACAAACATCAAGTGAGTCACCTATAAAAAGATTGCATTTCTAAGAATACATAAACCATATTTGGCTGATTGGCTTAATGAACTGACCTGTAATGGAATGTTTACTATGTGAAGTGCCTCGAGACGACTCTTGTCGTGATTTGGCGCTATATAAACTTGAATTGAATTGAACTGAACCATAAGTGAATACACACTATGAATGTTAATGGTTGCGTTTATGGGTTGACTGCTCATCATCTAAAGAGGCGGTGTTGATAAAATGCCATGTGGAAGTGAATATTCATGTAAATGTGCAGCGTGAAAAAAATAAAAAATAAAAAAGATTAGATCCTCTGTAGATTTGGGTGTTTGTGGTGTCATTCGAGAACTCCAGTGTTATGCAACGCTGCTATCCAATTGCTGATATTTTATTTAGTATTTAGTCCCTTCAGCCTAAAAATTTAAATATCATCAGGGTCACTTACTGAAATGTAAATGCAATGCTCTTTTCTGTCTTAAAATGTTTACAATAATCTGGATAGCGTCAACAACAAACTGACATGTTTTTCAAGGTAGAAAGAATGCAAAGCAGCCAATCAGAGGGCTCCATATAGGAACACTGAGCCGCATCTGACTGCATTTGTTTTTCTGTCTTTGTTCTACATGAAAGCTTCCTATTAAATGTATTATGGTGACCCCGATAAAGAATTCAAACCGAAATGTGTTTAACAAAGATGGTTTGTGCCTATAGACTACAAATGTTGTAGGGAGCAATGACCTTGGTACGTTTTGCGTTCTCTTTCAAAGCACCTGAACCTTGTAAGTTGGTGAAGTCATCCCAAAATCTCCTAGACTATTAATTCAGTTCAAAGGAAAATGGTGGGTTATGGGGAATATCAACGTTTTTACTGAAATAGTTTGGGGAATTTTAATGACCAGAGATGAGAGCCTTGCAGCTCTAGTCAGCAGAAAGAGAGAGAGAGAGTATCTGCACCCTAAATCCTAACTCTGTAGTTCTGGTTGACAGCGCGCATCATTTAAGCTGTGTGCATAAATGAGATATTTGACTTTTAGGCTTTACATTTCTGAATATGTGAAATTCTATCAAGCAGAATTTGTGCACGCAGTGTTGCTGATGCTTCTGGGTGACAGCTGTGATAAAACCCCACATGGTGCTTGGGACCTAATGCCTCCCTGCTTAATGCTCAGCTTTAAGGGGTTTGCTTGGGGGGGTTAAACTGCCATATAGTTCCCGAGCGGCCGTGTCTGCAGCTCCCCATGGGAATGGGTCAAATGTGGAGGACAAATTGCACACACCGGTGTTTTTTACAGCTGATAGGACTTTAATCTTTGACCCGAGACAAGGAAGTACCAGGAAATGTATGAGTGGCTATGATTATTGTAAAGAGAAATCACTAGTCTGGCTATTCTGATGAAGGGTTTCGTGACTTAAAATTGGAAAATGACTTATGTCTAAAAAATTGGAAAGCATCTTTGTATAAAGTAGATCGTAGTGGTCAGTCGCCAGGATCCAAAAACAGTGGGTCATTTTTTGTTGTTGGAGCGGATGTGGAGTAGGGGGTGGCAGTGCAACACACACTTGGCATGGAGGGGAAGTAACAAGGACGTGAACCAACACAAAGAAAAACAATATTTCTTGCTGAGTGGATAACTGACCGCCGTGGCAAAAAGAAACAGAAATATAGGAAAACTAAACACAATGGCCACCCCTGCTGCTTTGCTCCTTGCTCCCAATTAGTCTGAATTGTAAACCTCAGATTTCTCTCTATATTAGATTTAAAATAACCCCACCATATTTATTGGAGTTTCAATAAACAGCTACTTACATCTTGCCCAGGAGGTCTAATTGTGCCTGGCTCCTATTCAGTTGAGCTGTAATTGAACTAGTTCTGAAGAGCATTAAAACCCTGCTGGAGTAGACTCAACTGCTTTGTGGTTGAACCTGTGTTTTACCTGTTAAGAGGGCCACAGCAGTCGCCGCACTTAATAGGACTGACTTCCAGATGAGTGAAATTCTTATTTATTCTTGTTTAGCTTCTGCATAACAAAGTTAAGCAATTCTGACAATGCAATAATTGTAATGATACATGTTTAATACTAATAGGTTGTATTCACGGATGCATAATTCTATTTAAAGAGCTTAGGTAGATTTTTATTGAACTGTTATGTAACCCATGTGTAGCAGCTGCTGTGACCTAGAAAGCTCATGCATGCTAGACAGGCTTTCTGTATGCTAGCAAACAAGCTTGAAACAATGTTGAAAATTGTTTTTTTTCCATATCACAGGCAGTGGGATTCTGCTCAGCTGATGCTGTAACAATACAGGAAGTGGATACTGATTGGAGTAAATGAACGCTGCTCCATTCAGAACTCCAGCTGTTTAACACAGATGTGCTGCACTTTTATTATTTGTGCAAAAATATTGACGTTTTGTAAGAAGAAGAAGAAAAGTGCAGGAACAATGTACTTGGCAGAGTTCTGCTCAAGGTGGCATCCTCACCTTCACAATACTGACTGTAGTGAGCACACGCATTGCGCGGAGCCTGTTGAGAGTATGTGATTACTTTATACCCAACATGTATGAAATTTGGAATAGAATGATGATAAAGCATGAATACGGAGAGAGGCTCTAATGGAGACAGCCTGTCCATAAAACACATAGTGACTGCTGTAGCCTTTAATCAGAACTGAATTTAACCAGACATCTCTCAGAGTCACTCTCGCAATCATCCTCTCCCATTAGACTCTGCTGGTGTGTGTGTGTGTGTGTGTGTGTGTGTGTGTGTGTGTGTGTGTGTGTGTGTGTGTGTGAGTGAAAGGTGCACCACATTAAGGACCCAGCTTGTGTTTGTGAGTGGAATTGGGCACTAAAACTCTCAAAATTCATTTTGCACTGCTCTGAGTGTACGGCAAGCAGGTGCTGGATGATAATGAAAAAATGATGTGAAATAAACCTGCATCATCTAGTGGTGATGCTGTTTCCAAAAGGAATACAGTATAAATTTGATTGGTGCAAAACATCATTTTAAATGATACGGAGGAAAAATACACAGCATGTGTAAATACACACTTTTATTTTGATTTTCATTTTTTTACTTCTTAGATATTTAGAGGTTCAACCAGTAAAAGCTGTCCTGATCTAGTGGCAAGTCTGTGCTTCACAGGATAATATTCTAATAACGTTCAAATCCATGACTTAAGCTCAGCCACTGTATAAAAACAATTTATATGCCCTGCCTAAGCATATGCTACTTTTTCCATTCCTCTTTAATTATGCACTTTTTAATTACCTAACAAGACACCAGCACAACTATTGCCCAAGAAAGACTTAAAAAAAAAACAGAACTAAATAAATAAACAGGAAATTACCATCTGCCGCCGTCAGCTCTGACAGTCGATTTTTTTCTTCAAAGTTTAATAGCTATTTTAAAACCCTCAGTATGTGGTGTCCTTTGCAGCACGTCTGAGCATCAATTTGGAAAAGGTCTTCAATATCTCTTTGCACCAGCTCTCTCCTTTTGACTTTTTATTTTTTTAACAGCACCGGTTAGCGGCTGGTTGATGACTTCAGCTGGGAGCAATGTGGTCATCAGCCAAGGCCGATGCAAGAGAGCACAGCAGGTGGTCCCGGATGAGAAAAATCCTTGACGTCTTGCTCATCACTCTTTCTTTTTATGCAGACATTAAAGGCGACTACCATGGCCACCGGGGATAATCACGGCCACCTCTGTTTCTCAGCTAAACGACACCCTGGAGGAAGACATAATCCTCTCCAGCTGATGTCTCTCAAGCATGAAAACCCCCCAAACCAATTGTGCTTTACTTGTGCTGAATTACTCTTGATTATAAGATGTATCCTTGGGAGAGGACCTGCTATTTGCACTGAATGGTATGGAAAATAATATGTGATGAGCAGAGGCTATTACTCCCCAGACAGAGAGCCTCCAGCTTATTAATAATACTCAGAAGCCCCAGTGGCGGTGATGGCTGAGAACTTGAAATGTAATCTACATTTGTAGCTGCGGTCTTGTACCTGTCGATGGATGAAGACAACAGAGCCCAGGAGACGCCAGGTTCCTCCCTGTCTGTCAACGTGGAGCATACGCAGAATCTGCAGGAAGCGAATCCCTCTGGAAAATTACACGATTTCTACATGCTGACATTGAATTTACATCAAATGACGGCAGGTAATCATGCATGCACAATAAGACTGATAACTATTAATAGTACACATAAAAAGGGGTGAAACAACAGAAACATCTGTACAAAAAGTATTTACAGAATTCTTTTCTGTTTTCTTTTTTTTTGTCACAGTTTAGATCAGCAAACACATTTCAGCATCAACAGAAGATAATCTGGTTAAATGACACAAAAGCAGTTTTCAAATGGTAATTTCATGAATTAAAAGGCAAGGCAGCTTTATTTATAGAGGACATTTCAAACACAGAGGCAATTCAATGTGCCAGATAAAAGATAAAACTATTTAAACTAACTAACCTGGCACTGTATAAAATACAAATGTCAAAGGGATATTCCACCCAAAAGTGAATACATATTTCCCAAAGTGGTAAAAAAAAATAAAAATTTTAATCAGCCTAGTCATTCTCCTGGCCCGGCTGTACTCCACTAGCTTTAGCTTAGCATAAAACACAGTAAGTGAATGGGTCTGCTTGGTGACCTAAAAAATCATATTGACTGCAAGTGAAAATAACTAGTAACATAAAGGATTTACAGGCACCATTCTAGACTTGGGACTATGATGACCACCCACACAGACCTGATTACTGCAACATGTGTAGTACAAAGAAAATGCTTCAAAAAAACCTGTCTGAAAACATGAAGTAAGCTAAACCATTAAAAAAAACACATCACAAACTTTTCTAAGGAAACCCAAGAACAAAAGAACCTTGAAACATCTTAACCCTTTAAGACCTGCCATAGAACAAGTTCACCAGAACTTATATTTACATTTTTACATGCTGTGGTGCCACTTTTTGGAGTATTTCAACTTTTTACACATCAATACAACTCTTACATTCTAAATTTGACTTATATAAATGTAAAATGTTCATAGCAACAAACTATTTTACTAAAAAATGCAATTATCTACACAGAAACTGAAAATCGTTTTTTGTTTTTATGCATATTTTTCATTATACAGAAATGCCACAGCTTTATGCCTCAAAATTGTCAATGGAAAATAGTTTCACACAATCCTTTCAAACAACCACAAATTTATTTGAAGTGCTTCCATAAAATAGTTTCTGAGATACACTCATTTATATAAACTATAACAAAAATGAAAACATAAATAAGAATACCATTTCTGGTTCTTTTTAAAACACATGAAATATTTTTCTTTATAAATAATAATAATAATAATAATCAACTGGAGTCTAAAAATATAATGTTGAATAGTTGTAGCAAATTTTTCACTAGTATATAGTTTTCCTTTTCTCTCACTAATAATAATAACAATAATAAAGAATATTGTATGAATATATAAGTGAGGAAACAGAAAGTGAAACCTAAACATCACCCGGCGTTGTATTGACGTCAGCTGCTTCGAGGAGGGAGGATGCACCGTTCTGTGAGTCATCAAAATGTTCGTAGTGGTGTGTGTGTGTGTGTGCAGAATGTGTTTGTCTAAACTTATTATTGTGAAAAAGCACAAGAAAAAGTCGAAAGACTGGGACTACAAAGAACTACAATTCCCGGGGAAATGACGCCAAAGCAGGTGATTGGGTACGTGATAATCATGTGACAGTTCAAGTTGACATCGTGATGACATTTATACTAATGCGTGAAGCCCTGTGAGCTGCAGATCAGAACGACACGGCGTCTGTCTGAATGAAAACGCATTTCTTATTTGAGCATTTTGGTTGTTTTTTGCAAACTCATTAGTAGAAATATGCAGCACTCTGGGACATGTTCAGGTGTGAGATATAAGTGTAACTCCTCCGGTTTAATATGCCAAAAAAATGTGTTCTTTCTTACATAGTTTCAGTTTTACAAGCATTTGAACACAGATACACAAATGGGAGCGCTCCCACCAGTCTTAAAGGGTTAAAGGTGTGGAACACTAAAAAACATTTTTCTGTTTATAATCAGACACTGAGTGTTTCATGCAGGCTGAACATGAAAACAGTCTCCTACACCAATCTCCTGCATTAGCTTCCTGAACAGCCTGACAGATCTACCAGGCACGTGCAGAGGGGGGTGCAGAGGGTGCTTGAGACCCTGCCCCTTTTGTCCGAAATGCCCAAAGTGCCCTTTTTCCGGTCGTTGTCAGATTTTACCGTACAAAACTGTTATACTGTGATACAAATCGGGCACTAGGGCCATGCGGAGGCAGCCGCCTCAAGCTGAAGGTTATTTTCCCTTAGACCCGCCTACAAGCTCACTTATTGGCTCTGCCGCATCATACTAACGTGTGATTGGTTGTCCTTGCTGTCGCTCTACGTTGTAGCCATGGAGACGACAGACCGGTGTTTTCCCTGCGGACAGGAGTCTGCGTTCATCTAACTGTACGTTTTTTTTCTGCCTGCTTCATGTCAGCTGGATAGATTTTAATATCAGAGCTTTTGTTTATGTGCGTTTGAGTCCGTGGTTAGTGTGTGTGGAGCAGAGTCAGGTAGCTGCATGTCTGGGACATAAAATGAGACATGAGAGAGACTTCTGAAGTGTTGAAGAAACTCACAAAGAATCACGGATGTGTCTCACTCTAGATTCTCCAGGTCATAACTTCTGAATTACTAATCGAATAAAAATACTTCTAATGGGTTCTAAAAGTACATAAAACGAGCTTTCCAACAAGGTATTACATGATGTAATTCATGTTACTCCAAAAATCGCTATTAGAAGGATACCAGCTTTGCAGCGTCACAGAAAGAAACGGTGCGGACGGCGACGGGAGAGCGAGAACCAAAGGGAGGAGACAGTCTGATCATCTTCATCAGCAGCTTTTATAAAGTTATGGAAACGTCACAAATAAAATCCACCTGGTTGGTCAGGTGTCCCAGAAGGCTGTTTCTGTAGATGGTGACATGAGGAGGGACAGATTAAAGTCACACTGGTTTTTATTTGAACACTCAACGGTTTACTAAATGATTTAGCTTCATTCCAGCATTATTTATACGTACAATAAATATTTATTTAGCTGAAAATATAATGTTATCAGTGCAGAATTTTATTAGTTGACTTTTTGTAATGAAATGTTTAGATTTAAACTTTTATCTGCTTATTGATCTTCATAATGCTGGTAGAAATGTAGCTACAGCTGTGAAGTAGCCCATGAGTGTTATTTGATGATACCTAGTATTTATTTTACTGTATCCCGTTCTCTGGACCAGAGCGTAGACCTGTGGTCACAGACAGGCTGCAGTCATTAAAGTGGTTAACATGAGGTCAGGGGTCACACTGTTTTCTGAGTGTTTGCAACACAGTTCTGAGTTTAAATACTGGTAGTTCTTTTGACATAGTTTGCTCAAGTCATTTTGAAGTTCCTGTTTAGTAATAAATGTAAAGAAAATTCAAATCCGTTTTTTTTTTCATTTAAGCTGCAATTTTACAGGCTTTAATAAACATAAACACTAAATACAAACTAGACACTGAAAGCTGAGGTTGTTGTGGAAAAAGTTACAAACATTTTACACTTTTATTACAATTTTAAAGCCATAAAACAAAAAAAATCTTGTTATATTTATGGTCATAAGAGGGTTAAGCGTGATAAATTTTCCGCCTCCCACAAAGAGATGGTAAAAGTGAACGTGAGCATAATCATATACGTTTTATTACTTTATTATGTATTTTTTATTATTGACTTTCTGTGAAGAGTTCAGATGAAGGCAACTGGACTCCTTTGGTTTCTTTAAAACATTTCACTTCTCCTCTGAGGAGCTTTGTCAGTTCTAACTGGAATATGGGAGAGTCAAGCTCATAAGCTGTAGCTGTCTGTTGTTATTTAAAGTGCAGAAACTACTCTGAGTACCCCGCCTCTCCATCTCCTGATGAGTCGTTAGCCTCTATTGATGGTGAGTCATCATGTTGATTAGATGCAGGAAGGTGTGACCTAGACTGAAACTGAATGAGATTAAAAAAAAAGTTCTAATCTTTTAAACAACGCTGTTGGTCCTCTTGGTCCTTGTTCTGGTTTTCTAAAACCCTTTGTTAAAAACCTTGGTGTGTTTTTAGACGGTTCTTGTAATCTTTACAGACAGGTGAGTGCAGTGGTCCAATCAGGTTTTTATCATTTAAGGCAGATAGCAAAAGTGAAGCCATACCTTCCTGCTAATGTCCTCGAACATGTCATCCACCTGTTCGTGTCCTGCCGATTGGACTACTGCAACTCCCTGTATTCTGGCCTGGACCAGTCCTCCCCACACCGACTTCAGCTGGTCCAAAATGCAAAGGCTCGCTTGATGACTGGAACCAGCAAGTGGGATCACATAACCCCGGTTCTGGCCTCTCTCCATTGGCTTCCTGTCTCTTACAGGATCCATTTCAAAATTTTACTTTTTGTTTTTTATATCCCTTCATGGCCTGGCCCCAGTTTACATCTCTGAGCTGCTGTTCGCTTACGTCCCTGCCAGAACCATGAGGGCCAGCTCTCGAGCTCTTTTAACAGTTCCAAAAACCCGCCACAAGACTCGCGGTGACAGAGCGTTCTCTGTGGTTGGGCCCAAACTGTGGAACAAGCTACCTCTCAACATCAGGACCACACAGAATCTGGAGCATTTTAAATCCCTTCTTAAGACGCAATTTTTTGATTTGGCTTTTAATGTAGGTTGACTTGAGCATCTTAATAGTTTTTTTTACAGTTTTTATCATAGATTGTGACTGTTGTGTGCTCATCTTATTTTAGGTTTTTATTGTTGATTTGTTGTATCTTGATTTGTTTTACCTTGTACAGCGCCTTGGTGTAGCTTTGCTGCTGTAAATGCGCTCTGTAAGTAAAATTGACCTTGACCTTGACCAAAGCTGCATTATTGGTTCTGGAAAGGTGAAATCTAAGCCCCGCCCCTATTTAAAGTGGGGTTTTCACGTTTTGACATAGATAGCTTCTTTTACTCCTCTCTCAAACCATCTATCTTCTCTGTCCAGAATGTGGACTTTGTCATCTTCAGAGGTGTGTCCCTTGTCCTTCAGGTGAAGGTGGACTGCAGAGTTTTGACCTGAAGAGGTGGTTCTCCTGTGTTGTGTTATGTTCTTGTGTAATTGTTGTTTAGTTTCTCTAATGTAAACATCTGGACAGTGCTCCTACACTGGACTGCATAAACAACCCCACTGAGCTTCTGTTTGGGTGTTTTGTCTTCTGGATGGACCAGGTTGTGTCTGAGGGTGTTGTTGGGGTAAAGTTTATCGGGATGTTGTGTTTGGAGAAGATTCTTCTAAGTTTCTCTGAGACTCCTGCCACATATGTGATGATGGTGCCTTTGTGTAAAGGGTGTTGTTGTTAGGTCGGTAGCAGAGCTCTCATGTTTAGTGTTAAGTTCAGTGAGATCATGGAATGGGATCAAGAATTTTCTACTGACAGGAAAAAGATCTCAGCTAACAAAGCTGTAAATCCTAATGGATAAGTCTCTGTGGTTGCATTTATTTTACACTTATTTTACTACCTCTTACTAGAGCTGTCTTTAGTAAGCACAAAATATCTTTGGTTGTACACCTGTGCAATAGCAATAAATTATCTTGATTTCTGTTAAATGTACTTCCTGAATGAGTGACCTTTTCAGGCTAAAATAACAAAATGACAAATACAGACAGAAGGACGACTTATTTCTTCTTTTATAATGCGTTGCATCACCACCTGGTATCAGAACAGGACTCAGTATTGGAAGATAATCAAAAATCAAACAACTTGGACTCGGATCAGGGGCAAAAATGTGGTTGTAACATCTCTAGATATAAGTCAGCTTTAAAAACTAAAACTATTATTTATGAACTAACATTAACACTAATGACACTAATTTATATATTTTTATTATGTTGTTTGAACCCAAGGGTCTCATTATCTGAATTTTCTAACTTATTGGATTGCTCTATAAGTGTCCCTTTTTTTACTTTGAGCACCCATCCCGTCAAAGGTCTCTGCACGGCCCTGAGATCTACTGTACATCACATTGTCACTTATCCTTCATGGACTCAGCCATCCATGACAAGGAAGGGTGTTGATTTACAGCGTCCAGGAAACAGCAGAGAGCGTCTCAGCTGGTAGAAGCTAACCGTTAGCATTAACAACTCCACCAAATGACAGAACTCTTTCAGACCTGTGTGTGTTGTGGCGATTAAACATCAACGTTGCTAAGCAAACTGAGTCAGTGGTAGAGTTGCGTAGCTGTTAGCCAATCTGAGGCGAAATGCACAAATATCAGAAAATAAGACCCCATCACTTTTTAATATTTAATTATTATTTTTTTATTCTTGTGAAGTGCCTTGTGATTTTTATCTTGAGAGGGTCAGGGTTAGGGTTTTAAAATATTGTTTCTTCTTCAAATCCTGTCATCCGAAGCTCAGCTCTGATCTTGCAATCGGCTAGTTGCTGAAACAGGCACACCAGAGCTTTTCCCCCAGGGTATGACACACGAGGCATTCATTCCTACTAGAGGGCGCTGCAAATGTATGGATTAAATGAGTGTCCCACACCTTTAAGCACGACAGGTCATAGTTGGTTAAGTTTAAGGTTAACAATAAGGCAGCGACAAGGTGGTGGGTGACCTTCATGGGAGAACTTCAAAGCCAAAAGCCCAGCTAACTAAACATTGTAAAAAAAAAAAAACACCCTGACCTCCTGGTTTAATTACAATAATTCTGCAAAAAATAAATAAATAAATAAATAAATAAATAAAGAGTGGGACAAAGAACACAACAGGGACATGACATGCATGACTAGTTATCACTTCAGTGCAGTTTTAGTGGTGAAATACACTTTTGTTGGTTTAAATGACTTTAATTCCTACAAGAAAGTAAACTATTAGCATTTTAAACTGCATTTTTAAAAGTTAAAACATCAAAAACAAAAACCCATATGAGGGTAACTACTTTGCTCTGAAGCAAATAATCATGCATGAAAAACTAAAAAAACATTTTTTCTCATCTTACCTCACAGCAGAGGTGGCAAAGACCTGGCCTTTGGAGCCCACTGACAGCACAATTATCGAGGCAATAACTACGATCAGATCTGTGTCAAAACAGGCACAAATGATCTTAACCCAAAGTACACTCTTGGATTATTTTAAAACAGCAGAGGCAAAAGCACAGGAAAGTCTTGCAAGAAAAGTGTTGTGTTCAAAATGACCAGCTTTTATTTTAGAAATGCTATATTAGTTTAGATGAGAAGGGTTACACATTGTGTATTGCAGCAATATTCACTGATTAATAAAAAAAAAGCAGACCTGGAGGCTTATGTTTTATGAATATAAACTCAAGAAGAGAAAATATTGCAGTGACCATTTTAATTTCATGCTAAATTTGTCTTAAATATCTCAATCTAGGAGGAAGCCCAGACTGTACTACGGCCTTTTTAAAAAAAAAATGGTGTGAGTGGGTGGCAAATGACATGTCTGCTTGTGTGTATGAGCAGAGATATACGTGTGTGTGGAGATTGCGTTTCCACCTATAATAGATATTGGTTTCCTGGCAAACCGTAGTCGTCCCCAGATGCCAACATATTTACTGCGACAGCCTGCTGACCAAAGGCGGACGAAATATTCCACTCCGAAGAACACCACAAGGACGATCTCCTGTTAGAGAAATGAGGCGGAGGGACAGAGGGATAGAAAACAAACATCAGATGTTGCCGCAGGTTGCTCAATGCAACAAACACCTGAACATCTGTTCACATCTGTGCCAACTTTTCTTTTAAACAAATACAATTAAACTGGAATAAAACCACTCCTCAAAGCTTCTAACACTTGTTTAATCATGTCATCACAATTCACTAAGGATTATTGATTCTCCCCCAGCAGATGCACACTCTTTGTTGCTGTTTAATTTACGCCACTTCATTGACGGGTCCTTCGACTCAGCTGCTAAACGTATTTGGGCCTGATTAACACGTTGCTATTAATAACATTTAGTTGTGCTTTGTTCAGTAGAAAGGGCATTTCTTCTGATTATTCTCAACAAAAATCTGTTCTCATAAATACAATTGTTGGAGAATAGCCAATGTGTCGTCAACAATTGTGTAAAACATTAATGCTGCAACATGGCATCGCATAATGATGAATAATGACGAGTTCTCCCTCATTAAATGTTAGTTTTTAACTTGCAACAGAAGGGCGGGTACACAGCTACACATGGGCTTGAGTGGAATGCATGACCCGCTGTTTAATAATACATTGGATCTGTGTTTTGCTTGTTCTGAGGTTTCCAAAAGAAGTAGAGATGCACTGGTTCTGATTTCTGATTCCTATACAGCTCTGACAAAAATATTTTTCAGTGTGGTTGACAGAAAAAAACATTTTGTAATGATTATTCATGATTATCACTCTGAGATTCCCTCTCCCAGAGGAGATAGATGTAGGTCTCCTACAAATATCTGCTGCATTAGCCTCTGATAGAAAATAGACAATAAGATGCTTGGATTGAAAATCCTCACACATCTATGTCACACTGTGAATTTGCATTCATGTCGTCGCCCATCTTGGCTCAAGCCCGCCCACTCACAGTGCCCCCTGCTGGTCATCCTTGTCACACCTACAATTCTCACATGCACTGATTTTCCTGCAGTAACATTAAAGCACTATGAAACCCTTTTAATTTTGTTCCCAATCTCCATCTTTTCCATTTTCTTTAATTACGCATTTCATTCCCACCATATTCATTAACAGAAAGAGATGCATAATTAAAAAGTTAATGAAAAATAGTTCAACAAATCATTAGGCACAGATTTAAAAATGTGATGAGCTGTTTAACTTTCACAAAAATAACAAAGTGTCTTGATTCTGCAGAAAATGTGCTTTTGCAAGGTCTTAAAGTTTTTACTCTTTTCTAAAGAACAAATTTGTTTCTATGTGCAAAAGAGGGTGATATTATGTACAAAAGTGGAGGAGGGATGACGTCATGGACGGCGTTTGTTTATGACTGTAATTCAGTAAAGTTGACAGAAACCAGACTGGTGGACTTGAAAACGCTGCTGCACTGCTGTTTTTCAGAAATATTTTCTGAGACACTGAAACTGTTCTTGTGGAGAGGTGAGCTGACCCACCCTCATAACCAGGTAACAGGTAGGGGGAGCTGCAGCGGCCAACATACCTCAGAAACTACCACAGATCTTTCCACTCGCTGAAGTGCCTGAGTTCTGTGAAGTTCTAGCGATACTTGCCTTCACAACTTTAATAAATCTGTGCTACGTGACACCCATGTGCGTAATCCACTGCTATAAAATAATGTTTTTGCCACAAAAGGTGGGTAATAACAACTTGTTTTTTTTTACCTGTGGTATATTTAAAACTTAGTTAGACAAAACTAAATTGCAAACATAACTTTCTGAAGTTAAAGTAGCTGCTAATTCTTAAATTTGAGTATCAAACTTAGAACATTATGTGCACATCCGTGGAGGTGTTTCCTTTAACTCAAATACTTTTCTTTCCTCCACAATAAAGTGACTCACAAAGTATTAAAGTAATTTGGAGTTGGACCCCACCCAAAAAAAAGAAATAACTAAAATGTTAGAAGTGACATGCAAAGAAAAAAATTCAAGTAGAAACATGAAGTTTTTAGTACTGTAAAAACCCAAATATTGTTGTGGTTGAACTTGCAGCTCATTTTCCCACAACCACCATCATTAGCACTTTGTTTTTCTTTCATTTCTCAGCCCAGGAGGTTGCTGCTTGGCAAGAACAGTTAAATGGCCTCGAGATGTGTTCCTTTAGTTTGTCTCAGTGGTAGCTTAGGAAAATCTGGAGATATGAAGTGAAAAAGGAATGAGTTGCAGGCACTATAAAGTGTCAGCAGTCCCCCTTTTCAGGGAATAAGTATGATTGTTTAGAAATCCCTAAAAGAGATAGTCTTACCGTGTACTGTAATATAATGTAGGAAATAAGTCAGTTTTCTTTTTGCTAAGCCCACCCCCCCATTCCGTAGAGCCACATGCTATTCTATATTCCTAAGTCTCCTCCATCTCTGGTCAGCTCATGAACAAAAAAAGGAATGCAAGTCAACGGAGCTAAAAGAGCTATTTTCTAATCTGCTTTGCCTTACGAATCGCACATACAGTGCTCAGCATAAATGAGTACACACTCTTTAAAAAGTATGATTTTCATCAGCAGCTCAATGAACAAATGAACAATTTCCAGAATTTTCACAAAGCTGGGTTTTATCGAACACTTGTTTAACTCCATAACTTGAAATTAAGGTTAATAATATAACTTAGATCACAACATCTTCAATACACCCCCCAACAAAAACGACTACATCTAGCATTTTGTATGACCACCACGATTTTCAAGGACAGCACCAAGTCTTCTAGGCATGGAATGAACAAGTTGGCGACATATTGCAACATCTATTTTTTCCATTATTCAAGAATAACCTATTTTAGAGCCTGGGTGCTGGATGGGCAGTGATGCTCAACTTGCTGCTTCAGAATTCTCCACAGGTGTTTGATTGGGTTCAGATCAGGAGACACACTTGGCCATTCAATTACTTTCACCCTGTTCCTCTTCAGAAATGCAACCTTAGATTTAGATGTGTGTATTGGATTATTGTCGTATGGAAAAGTGCACGGCGACCAAGTGCATGGAGTGATGGCAGCATCTTCTCCTTCAGTATAGAGCAGTGCATTGTTGAGTTCATAATGCCATCAATGAATTGCAGCTCCCCAAAACCAGCAGCACTCATGCAGCCCCACATAAGGACACCACCACCACCGTGCTTCACTGTAGGCACCATGCTTTTCTCTTAGAAATCCTCACCTTTACAACGCCATACATTTTTGACACCATTAGTTCCAAAAACAGTGATCTTTATGTCATCACTCCAGAGTCTAGAGTCCCAGTAGTTTTAATCTCTTTCAGCATGGGCTCTAGCAAATAGGTGTGCTTTTTTGTGCATGGGCTTTAGGAGAGGCTTCCTTCGTGGACGATACCCATGCATGCCATTCCTCTGCAGTGTGCGCCGTATGGTGTTACGGGAATCAGTCACTCCAGTTTGGCTTTCTACTGCTTTAGCTAACAGCAGTGAACTTTAACGCTCCAGTTAACTTCCATTGATGGTCTGGATGTCTCTGTAAGATGGTTGCACTTACATCTTCCTTAAACTGTTTTTAACCTTTTGCTATAACATTCTGACTGATAAGTAAAGCTTTCCTAATCTTGCAGCCCTCACGTTTTATGTGTAAATAAATGATTTCCTTTGTCAGATTTTGTGACATTTCTCTTCCATGTGGAGCCGTTGCTGACAGCATGAAATGGGAAGGGCTTTGGGCTTTTCTTGTTAAGTAATGCTCTTTTATAGTTACCTGTCTGCTGGACATCTCTTAAATGAATCATTAGACTCACCTGTGGTTGAATGCCTTTAATTTCTAATTTTGTAGTCTTAAGTGTGGCTTTTCTCCTAAGACTATAATTGGGGTGTACTCCTTTTTGCAACACGAGCTTAAATGGATTTGTTAGGAAAATCACTTGTTTGTGTGTGCAAATTAACAAATCTAGTTTGCAAACAAGGACCCACATTTGTGGGAGTATTTTGTAGTATGGTATCTCATAGAAAATGTTGATTCTGAAAGGAAACACGAGGTTTTCTGACAAATGTAGTGGGATGTACTCATTCATGCTGAGCAATGCATGTTGTACTTTAATTTAAATGAAAACAAACTATGTTTTTCGACCCCACCTGCCACGTACTTTGAGATTTATTAGCTTGTAAAAATTGAGAATTCCTATGACTACAAATTAGACGTCGGCATGTCTCATATATGACATCACCACATAATCTCCTCTCCCCTAGCATTGTTGCTACTTGCCAAATGGCAAGCTTTATGAAATTGCTAACCCTTTTCGCACAAAACCTAAAATAACTTGTGCCCCACTCTAAAATAAGAACTTTATAAAGCAACTGTGGAGAACATTCTCACTCTACACCTCCCAGCCTGGTCTGGTCATGTGAACTGCAAATCCAAGGCCAAACTCCTGCGAATTGTCTCATGGGCAGACAAAATAGTTGACAGACCACAAAACAAGTATCTCCCAGTTGGCTGCTGGAAGGATGAGGAACAATGCAAGGAACATTGTAGCAGATAGCAGTCATCCTCTCTTCCATCAGTTTGAACCCTTGAGTTTGGGAAGGCGTTTTAGGGTGCCTCTTGTAACCAAAAATATATATATATAATCATTTGTACCAAGTGCTGTACTGGTCCTTAACCAAGGTAAACGATGGGACCCAACCAGAGCACATAGTGTCAAGAATGTTTGTATGCATTAATGTTTTTTTTTTTTTTTAGTTCTTGAGAGCGGAAGACAAATTTCCACCACGGTGGACAATAAAGTTCTATTCTTTTCTTTCCTGGCATCAAAATGTGTCTTTAAAATTCATGACCGCCATATGTGAAATCAGTGGCACATAAACAGAATTAGAAAATAGCATTTTCAGCCTTATTGACTTGCACTGGCTTCCTATTTGAGAGCCGCTCAGCATTAGACATCCTCCTAAGTACAGATGGCAATCACAGAGCATGTGCACATATTTGCAGAAGTACCTATACATATATATATATATATATGTATATATATATATATATATA